AGATGTGTATAAGATTAGAGTATATAAGTTACAAATAACATAAATAAAAATGTTCCAGTAGAATTTCAATAACCCCCCCCCCTCCCCAACTTCCTAAAAAAAATGAGAGTGAATGAGTGATAGTGGGTTGGTGTATTTAATTGTGATAACATTATATGCGGTTTATAGAGGAAGCTGATTCTCTATGTGCTGATTCTCTTTGTGTTGACCTAAGGATGTGTCTAGCCTATTAAAGTGGCAATGGCATCATGAATGCTACACTCTCACATCTGCAGCAAACTGCAATGGTCTAAGATATGTTCCAACTTAAGCATTAGCTCACGATGCACAGTTTTCTGTAGACATTTTATTACTAGTGGCGTCCATACAATCAGTTTTTTAAAACTGATGGTACGGACGTCACGACTTAGAAGTCGTTTAAACTCCGGGGAGGCACTATGATCAGGCTGATTCAGGCATCTAACTCCATTACATACGTTCTCTTTGCAGACGACACCAATAGTTTCCTTTCACATCCTGATTTGCACACCCTAATTAGAATTTTCAACAAGGAAATAAAACATGTTTCGAATTGGTTTAAAATTAATAAACTGTCATTAAATATCAGCAAAACCAACTACATACACTTTTCCGGAAATAAAACTAATATTGATCCAAACAAAAACATCTATATCGACAATACTCCTATTAATTTAGTTAATAATACTCAATTTCTTGGAATACTCATAGATAACAAACTAAACTGGAAACTTCATATCTCCAAAATCTCTAGAAAAATTTCCAAAAGCAATGGCGTACTTAACAAACTCAAATTTACTCTTCCATCTAATATTTTTTTCTTTCTCATTATATAACACTCTTATTCTTTCCTACTCACACTCACATCTTTCCTACTGTAACATTGCATGGGCAGCCACTGATGCAAAACACCAAACTCATTGTCCTTGGACAAGCACTGAAACAACTAAACTTGATCAATTATTTAAACTTCAAAAAAGGGTTCTTCGTACTTGCTCTTTATTAAATGACCTTTTCCCTTTCTTAAATTACCTTTCCCATTCCAAACCTCTTTTCTATAAATTTAACACTTTAAACATTTTTGACATAAATAAATTGCAATCTGCCATTTTCATGTATCGATATGCAAATAAAAAACTCCCAAATACTTTTAAAGGATACTTTACAAAAAATAATGAACTACATAACTTCTTCTTTAACGCTAGTCGTCGTTAGACATCGCGCATCTCACTAATTTCCGCCATTTGGTGCGTTTTTGAGCAAGTGCGTGCATAGACCTGTGTGTGAAAAATCTGGTTTCCTTCTTGATGTTGGCCATCCATGTTGTTGTCGGCCGCCCCTGCGGACGTTTTACCTTTCGCTCTGCTTCGTGGTATGCCATTCTAGCTGGAGTGTGTTCATCTAAGCGGAGCAGGTGCCCATACCATACCAGCCTTCTTTTCTTTACTTTCTTACTCCGTTCTTCTTTCCCTGTCTTTCTCTATACCTCGTCATTCCTTATTTTCTCTGGCCACTTTATACCTAATATTCTTCGTAGAAACTTTCGTTGGAACACATCTATTTCATTCTCTAACAATTTGGTCATTGTCCAGAGTTCGCTGTTGTATAGGCAGATACTGGTGACATATACATTGAAGACTCTCACTTGCAATTTGGTTGTTATTTTCTTATTTTGGAGTATACCACTTATTTTAGAGAATGTTGCTAGAGAGAGGTGTTTTCTGTTACTGATGTCTTCTCTTGTTCCCAACTTGCTGCCTAGAAATTTACAATTTCGCCAATCTCCATTTCCTTTCCTTTGTATGGTATATTCTTCTGTTTTGGATGCGTTTACCGTTAAATTGTAGTCTCTAAATTGAGGTGGCAGTTCTTTCTTTATTTCATTTACGTATTCTTGTGATGTAGATATCCATGAAATGTCGTCGGCATATTGAAGGCTCAATGTAAAATTGATTGTCTGATATTGTTGTTGTTCATATGTTTGTAATATGTATGCTAAGTATGTGGTGAAGAGGATAGGGCTAAGGCAATCTCCTTGTGGAACCCCAATATTTGATATAATAGGGTCACCTAACTCCTTTGCTATCCTTACTTTAAGTTCTACTTGTTCTATTAATATTTTATTGAGGTTTAGTTCTTCAGGTTCTAGATTTTGGGATATAATCTCGATGAGTTTTTTCCTATTCACTGTATCAAAAGCGCTGCTCATGTCTAGCATAAGAAGAGTAAGCTTGCACTCAGATGAGATAATGGCTTTCTCTGCAAGCGTTCTGAGAGCAAATACATGTTCGGTAACACTTCTCCCTTTGGTGTATGCTGCTTGAGAGAGCGGTATAACGCTCTTAAGTTTATCACCTATCTTCTGTATAAGACAGATAGCTAAGATCTTTCTGATGGTGTTCAAAAGAACAACTGGCCTGAGGTTTTTGACAATACTTTTCTGTTTACCTGATTTTGGAAGTGAACTATGATTCCCTCTTTTATATCATTAGGCACTTTACCGGATCTCGCCATCTCATTAAAAATATTTGCAATAATATCAAATACTACTCAGGTGCAAATTTGATTCTTAATGAACATCGTCTGGTCCTGGTGTCTTACCATTTTTTAGTTTCTTAGCAGTTATTTTTATTTTTTAATTTTTAGTTTTAAACCTTACTACATACTTAGCCGCCTCCTTATAGACGTGCGCAACATGTCCCCACTTTTTAAGTATGTCAGTGTTGCTTAACTTATGAGTGTCTAGTTTTTGTTTTATTCTAGCTTTGTATTTTTCCTGGTTAGTAGTACTGTATCGGTAAGTTTCATTACATCTAATACTCGGCTCGCCTTTTTCGGTTTCATCTTAACATATTGCAGCCTAAACTGTGTTTACTAATCTGTGGTCGGTTTCAACGTTAATACCACTATAGGATCTAGAATTTGTGATACAATTTACATTCTTTTTCCTAACCATTATGTAGTCCACTTGATTTCTATAAAGGTTTCTACGTGGCGTACCATTCCTATCTACATAACTATGACACTAGAAACGTGTGTTATAAAAAACTACAATAGAACCTCAACTCGAAATTCAATAATCACATCGGTCTTCTGCTATGGAACTCACTTGACACATCCATCTTAAGTCACAATACCATAAATTGTTTTAAATACAATTACAAATCTCACCTTAAATACTCTTAATATCCTTAATCATAATTATTCTTTTAGTTACAGCCTAACCTCGTCAGCTTAATTACACAAATCCAACACCGTTAACCTTACCCTAGGTGTACGGTATGTGTTCTGTACTGTCCTTGTCCCGTTAAGAATATAATGTTGTAGTCTGTTCTTGTATTCTTGTGTGTTTAGTATGTGTATAGCATTCACTTTATTACATAAACTTTTAATTTATTTTCAACCTTTTACTGGTGGAACCAGGCTTAAAGCCCTCCTGGGCTTATCTGGCTTTCTCCAGACATATTTGCATTCCTATATAATATAATCTATTTTATTTATTCATTGTAATTCCTGATGATGCATTATATGTGAATTAACTGAACTTGAACTTGAATTAAGTCGTTCAAATTCTCGGGATATGAACTATTAGGCTTATATCGATCAAACTCTGAGGATAGGCACTAAGTGATTTTAAATTGTGATTATCGTTAAGCGACATTTTAAGCCTGTTTTCATTAAAATCGCTACAGTGTTTTCAGTGCAATCGCTGTGTAGCAGTCCCCTACGCAATCTGGAAGGCTCCCCGATTCGACCGACCAATCAGCATCACCGGAAGCGTGTAGCGATTGTATGGAAACCAAGCTTCAAAGAGCACAAATACAAATCTCTCCTCCCTTTTGTATTAAATTGTTTAATGTAGTTTAAATTACACTAGCTTCGTCGTTTTGTGATTTTTATGAAGTAATTTGAAATTCCAAAATAAAAAGTTCAATTGAAAAGACTACTAAGTTGAGTTAATTACTAAGTAACTTTTCAAACGCGAGTTACATGATCAAAGAAGGACTTTGATCAAGGGTATCACCTAGTATTGGCCTATTTGTAAAATTCGTTAGACTTTAAGTAATTCCACAATGAATTTTATCTTTTAATTAACAATACTCAACTCAACAAATAATAACCGCCACTTTTGAATCCCTGCCTTATTCTCTGTCCACAGCGGGTCCAACCTACCCCTGCACTTCAAATAATAATACTGTGTATAAACGATAGGCTTAAATGGGAGTTCGTGATCAAAAGAAGAAACAAAATAATCCGATTCATGTATAGGTCTTTATAAATAGGCCTACAAGTACAAAAAAAAAAAAAAAAACTCACAATAAACTGTATTAAAATGAATCTCATAAAAATACACACATATTATCTGTTTATTTCATTAACATGCATTCACCAATGCAAAATAAAATACTGTGCAAATAAAATAATGACAATTTATTCACAAGCTCTCTATCCTTTTAATATTATCCTTTTATGAATTGTATTTAAACAAAATAACAATACAATTCATTTCTGTCATCATTACAAATTACACAGTAGACACATTTCATGGCTCAAAGTAGTACTGGACAGTAGAACTGCTAGCTTATTCAATAGTAAGCCAGCACCTGTCTGGAAAATATTGAAATGAAACATCCAAAATGACTGTTTAAATAATCACTAAATCGCCATGTGTAAAATTATTCATTATTCTGGTACTGGTATAGGCATTTATAATGCGCCTCTTCCTTGAGGTTATAAAGCGCACCTCTTTTCCCTGATTATTTGGTCCACATGCTTTTAAAGTGTTGCTGCTGGTAATGAGCACAGGAGCAGGCAACGCCTACCAGGTGCCCATTTATACTTTTGGATAGAGAGGAGCAATGCAGATAAAGTGACTTGCTCAAGGACCCAAGCGAAATGCACAGCAAAGTGGGATTGAAACCCAGACCTCGAGGTTGGGAAACCAAACCGTTCCCGCTGTGCCAAACTGCTTCTAGTTATTGGAATTTTGTATCAACTTTAACTAATTTCTAATACCTACTGTTAAGCATTAGGTCTACCTGAGGAAGTCAGTCAAACCGTTTGGTCAGTAAACACGGAAAACATTTTTTAAAATACAGGTATGTTTTTCTTTTTTATCAATTCTAGCCACCAACAGTTTTTGTTATGAAATTTAAAATATCTAAAGCCGGTGTCTCACATAATGCGATTTTGCTGTGCTACACTCTGTCTAAAAGTATCTGGTGCATGGATGTTGTTGCAAGATATGACAGGTATTACAACACAATACAGATAGTCATATGGAAGCGTAAGATATGGAATTTTGAAAATGTTCAAAATAATGTCTTTGTTAGTGTCGTTGCGCAGCTTATCGTAAGCAATATTGCAGCATGCCTGACCAGCTTTATACCCACAAATTATACCAACAAATGACCAGCACTCAATTGAGCCACAAAATCTGTCTATCATAAAAATTTCATTCAATACAGTCATACCCTGTGTTACTATTACCTGTGTCAATTTAACATGACAAAAATACGACATGATGTCATTGTAAACTTGAGGTCACTGTGCGTTTTACTGGCAGATTATTCTCTATTGCACACCTTTCACAACATTGGAAATGTAGAACTGCATTAAAAGTGGTATCATGTTTTTATGTTGTTGTTGGTGGGTGAGACTTCTGGCTGTGAAGAAGCACTAGTATGGGCTGAAAAGCCTAGTTCCTATCACTAAAACAACGTCACTGAAGGTATCAAGCACTTTTGCTTTTATATAGTTTCAACCACCCACACAGAATACATTTACAAATTATGAATATATATATATATATATATATGAACTATGGGAGGGAGCGCAAATATCACCAGCAGAGTGGAATGGCAGCAATATTAAGTTACAAAAAATCGGACAAGAAGGCAACATAAGGCTAGTTTTCTTCTATACCTTGTCTAGCGAACCCTACGACTGCCAATAATTGTGATTTTGAATAAAAATGTAATTTTATTTTTGGCCAGTTAGGGCACCATATGCCACAAAAAACAGCAATTTATAAAAAAAATATATATTTTTATTTATCTCTACCACACACTCTTCTCCCTGAAATCTTAAAAAATATGACATACAGTATATATTGCCTCCTTAACTATACAATTTAAGCATTTATCAACCTTATTACTACACTGTTTACATTTACCAATAAAATTTTATTTTTATTTTCTCTTCTACCTAGTTGCTTTTGGCAAAATAAGTTTGCTGTAATTGAGATAACAAAATTTTACTTAAGTATTTTTCCAACATCCATTGATGATTTTATTTTTTAAATAAGTTCGCTAAACAAGGTATCAAAAAGTCTCACCTGCGGTGAAAACAAACCAATGCGCTGAAATTCACTGCAGCTGTATTTCACTCACTTATTGAAAAGAGCATATTTTACTAAATAATTAATTTCAAATATTTATAGAATTTGGCACTTAAGATTATGATTCATTTATTTATTTATGTTATTTGGTAGCTAAAATATTATTCACTTTTCAAACTTTGAGACAAAACCAAAATTCTGAATTATATTTGGATGCTAGCAGCATAGGCTAAAATTAAATTTTATTAAAAAATTCTCAATACAACTCAATACAACTACAGAACAGATAAATTGATTGTATATAATGAAGACATATGTGGCAAAGACAAGCCAAACCAGTCACTCGTCGCAAAATCGATTTTGAGTTATTAATACAGTGTTAGAGAGTAAAACAATAGCTATAAAATGGTAAAAAAATCAATCAAATCGGACATTTCCTTATGAAGTTAAAAGCATTTAAACACACAGCTGTTTAAAGAACAATATATGAGAAATCAGCCTTCAAAATTTATGATTTCAGGCTTTTCTCATGCAGAAACTATCATCAAATCCTTAAAAAAGTGTTGTTTTAACATTGAAAAGGGGGAAAATAACAGCATAGAATGATGTATAGATATGTAAAGATTAGTTTCGTGCAATAAAATAGATTTTTAAAAGTTTGACATTCCAGCATGTTTTGGCCATTTTCTCTGAAACACGATTTGCGACGAGTGACTGGTTTGGCTTGTCTTTGCCACATATTCTTACCAGAAAAAAGTTAAGATTTTTTTTGTAGTAAAATTTGTGTCTCATTTTAAGTTAATGACTTAATTATTTCTTTAGCAATTCTATTTCATTGTTTTAGGTTATTTTAAAAATATAATTTAACACCTACTGCATTATTATCATTAATATGCAACATAATATATATCACCATTTCATTTGCAAACATATTTATGTTGGCACCTTTTGATCAATTACAAAACTTTAAAAAAAATCAATCATTGGCTTCAAATTATATCAGGTTCTCAATTAGCAAAACTTACGAGTCACAGCTGTATAATAGAAAATGATGTGAAAATATCTTGACTAAAATTTTTGAACCATGTAGCAGTTAAAGTACAATATTATGATATCTTGCATTGTATGAGCTCCATAATGACTCAGCCACTATAAAACATACAGTAAAACAAATAAATAAATAAAATAAACAAATAAATAAACAATAAATAAACAAATATATATAAAATATATATTGCATTGAACTTAGCTTTTAATACTTAAAAGCAAATAGAAATTTGGTGAAAAATAATTCATCAACACATGTGGTCCTTATCTTTATATTTATCTTATCTTAGAGTTACTCAAATACAGATCAAATATTGTTAATTACCTATTTCTACCTTGCCTCTGCCTGCTAAATTTTCCCCTGCCCCTGCTAGGCTTAGGGTTACTTGGTTTTGGCTTCCTTTCTACCACTGTCCAAGACTTATCTTCATTTGCACCATCATCACCACACTCAACCAGATTATCAATCCGAGCTACTGAAAGTGATGGCGTGTCTCCAGCATCTGATGGATTGGAGTTATTGTAACCGGATGTAAACTCTCCGTGTCTTCGTTCATTTGAATGGGTTGTAAGGCCATCACTTATTGCACGTTCATACTTACTTTCATATCTCACAGGTGAATTAAACTGTCTTCCAGAATTATACCTGCCTCTTGGATTTTTCTGATAAGCATTCTGTCCCCGGCCTCTCCTACGTTTGTCATCTAAGCTTCCATACCCGCTTTCCTGGCGAACTGACAACCACCTACGATCTGCATTATGATTTTTCCAATTACCATGATTTCTATGTGATTGGGGACTTGCTTGGTGTTGAAAAAAGACATTTGGTTTATTATACATTGAACTATGAACTTCCTCTTGGCTGAAATGTTTACTATCTTTAAATTCAGCAGTTGAAGTTTGAGGTTTTCTACAGGCATTAGCATAAGAATTTTGGCAAGATTCAGAACCTGAGGTACAAACAGATGATGATATGCTGTTGCCTGCAAAATCATTTACATCAAGACTATGATCGTCTGCTGCTGTTGAAAGGCTTGAAAATGTGTCAAGCAAAGGTTGACTCCCATCTTTCTCCAACTGAACTCTAGAGGGCTTTCGGGCTGCTATCTGTGACCACTCACCTGTGGTTGCTGAATAAGAAAAAAACAATGTTAACATTGTGTTGATAATTTCTCATATGTGACATATTATATTGACTGATGATCTAAATAACTTTAAAAATAAACTTTAATATTTGAACTTAGGTAAAGTTATTAGATTCAAAAAAGAAATTTGAACAAGATATTTTTTTGGCAAATAGATGTTTGAGTCTTTCAGTCATTTACATATATACACACTTAAACTGGCTGGTAATAGAATATGAGGCTTGCCATTCTAAAACTAGCATACTGTTTATACTGTTGAACCTGTTAGTGGCGGTTTTCATCACTGTTGGTTTTATACTGAATAAAATAAAAATAAATTAAATTTTAAAAGCCAAGCACTCACTGGCCACGACAGTCGTCAGCTGACGCGATTTATCAGCTGATGGTGATGCGTCATCTAGCACTACAAAGGAGCGGAGTTTAATTGGTTGTGCGACAGTTGTAAGACACGGTGAGTGCCGGGCATTAAATTGAGTACTGTACTGCAATTAGCGTAAGAACATGGCAGTATTGTACACTTTTGTACAGAGAAGCTGTAATACTTTTACTGATAACTTTGGCAATAGTAAGTCGATTCCAGTAACTGAAACTTATAATGGGGGAAGAATATGAATATATTAAAAAGTCAATTGATACTGGTTTTGGCTTGGTAAGCCAAATATGAGCCTACATTAGGCATACCCAACATAATATCAATAATGAACAGTCCATCAATTTGGATATAGCACAACAGAGATAAAAAAAATTCCAACTTAACATGAAGATATAGCTGTATTTCAAACTTTAGTCAGAGTATGATGGAAATCTTGGTAAATCAGATTTTCGACAGACATTATTTAGAATGAGTACCGTAAATGCTCGAATAAGCGCCGCACCAAGGGTGATTTTTTTGTTGTTAAGCACCACTCTCGAGTGTATAAATTACCCTATGTGTAATGAAACTTCGAGAAACATGGTTTTATTACAATGTATACAGTGCTAAAATGAAAAATTAACAGAATGAAGACACAAGCATTTCTTCATAAACGTTTATTTACAATGATGTAGGACCTACAGTATAATAGGCATACCAAACTACAATAATATGTGAAATAGGTACCATGGAAACGGGCATGGAAAATGCCATAACCACATTTTTTATAAGTGCTGTTCTTGAAAAAGCGTCACACTAAAGGCTCCAAAAATGTCACAAGCGCCTCAGCGCTTATTCAAGCATTTACGGTAAAAGCTGCTGTGATCATTAAAGTGAAATAAATAAGTTTAAAATTTACAAACCTTTAGCTTCGTACTTGTAGGGGTTGATGGGTGTCTTATCAACATTCCAACAGTTGGGTGTCCCCTTGCTGCCAATTTGTGAAGGCGATGGCTTTAGGCTTTGCAAAGATGGTGAGGACTTGTTAGAATCTGATATGTCCAAGGACGATAATCGACTACGAATCGGTCGAATATACAACTTCACATTCATTTCTTCAACTAGACCGCCATCTTTCATTTGAATTTTGTGAACGTATTTAGTTGATTTTGGTTTTTTTACTATGTCCTAAAGAGAAGAAAAAAACAAAAAAATAAATAAATATAATAATAAATATTCACTCCCACTCCTAGACTACCTCTTTTAAATGTAAATTCTCTACCTGCCCTCCTGGACAAATTGTAAGTTTGTTTATGCTGCTACACACAGCCTAATTTAAAATAAAAGCGTGTTGATTGCTTGCCTGATGATAAAAAACTGCACAGTCAACTTGCTGACAAGGAGAGCTTAAAGTCTGCCATTTACTCATCACATACGGAGGATTTTTTATGGTGATAAACTCTGATGACGGAAGCTTGAACGTTACTTCTTCGATACAATCTAATGCCAAATCTTCACCATCAACTTCCACATACATTTTCCATTTTGGTGCATCCTAAAAACAAATATGAAAGTGACAGTTAATATTGTTATTGCTATATTATATATTTCCACTGAAAGTACTTCTAGTTATTATACTGGTCATTAGCAGCGGTGGCTTGCGAAACTACCAACAGAGATTTCAACAAGTCTGCAGGGGATCCAAACCAAGGGGCTGCTTAGAGGCTCAATCAGGGTTCCAGAAGAAAATCCCCCTGGCATGGTTCATGGGGATAATTTTCATGTTTTAGGATGGTAAATTAATAATTTCAGACCAGTGACTACGTATTTGGACTTTTTGGTTAAAACACCTAAGATAGCTCATGTAAGTGTAGAAGAACACTTATTTCCAGTGGGTTCTTTCTGGTGGTGATTGGGCAGTACACCGGCAGACAATCCCCTACTCTTTTCCGAAGAAAGTACTGCGTTCTTTAACATGCACATGGGCCATAAATGCACACAGGACTAACGGCTTAAACATCTCATCCGAAAGACGGTGCACTATTGTAACTTGTTTTTTCCAGCCCTCCAGCTGAAACACAAGGAGAGGCAGCGATGGGAATTGAACAGAAGACCTAGAGATCTCCACGGTTCAGCGCACGCACAGTGGCTACCACCAGATTAGCCGACTGAGCTAAGCTGCTCTCTCTAACTTTGGGTCCTTTGATCATGTGATGTGCATAAAGGCTTTGGTATTAAGCGTATGTAATACCAATGTAAAATAATACATTGGTATTACATACGCTTAATACATTGGTATTAAGCGTATGTAATACCAATGTATTATTTTACATTGACGATACAGAACATAGATCTAACTCATTGAACTGCATTTGAGCAATTATTACTTACAGTTGAAGATCTGCCATGGCGAAAGTGATTACCAAATATTAATGTCAGAGTTGTTGTTGTTGTTGCTGGAACAGGTTCCTGTTTAGGTGAGGATGTGTTCTGGTGATAAACAAAACAAATAAATTAATATTTTTTTATCAAAAGCAGTCATTTCTGATTACCGTAAAACCTCGAATTGAAGCCCTGAGCTTCTTTTTCTTGTGAACTATGGATGGGCTTCTTTTCGAGGCTACTTTTGCAAAGCGAAGAGGGGGCTTCTGTTCAAAATTAATGCTCTAAATTCTGTGAATTAGTACTATAAAACAATAAATAGGGCCATTGTAACATCAATCTGTATCATGAAGTGTATTAACCGGCATTAAATCAGCTAAACTACTATATAAACCAAGCGTGTTTTAATTTACTTTGTTTCTTTACAATATATGTACAGTGTATGTACTGTACTATCTCGAAAATTAGCCAGATGCTTTATTAAAGAGAAGCCTACAGGCTTCTTTTCCAAGGCTAATTTTGCAAACTTAAGGAGGAGGCTTCAATTCAAGACGGACTTCACCTCGACATTAAGCCCATGGGACTTCAATTCAAGGTTTAACGGTAGGCTATCAGAGGTTACCAAGTGGCTTAAAAGTGCCTTTGGATACTGTTGTAAACAACAGTCTACAAACACAAATTTACACAAAGAAAATTTTTAGGAATTAAGGTACTTATTATTATTGCAGAAGTGGTTGGCACATCGATTGTGGTTTGAACTCCCAACCTTGAGGTCAGGGGTTCAAAACTCTCACTGTGCAAGTCGCTTGTGTCCTTGGGCAAGGCACTTTATCTACATTTGTCTTTCTCTACCCAGGAGTATAAATGGGTACCTGGTAGGATGTTGTGGCATCGAATGTTTTAGTTTCGTGTGCTAAAGAAGTAGCGAACGACTAGGGATACTCTCCAGGGAGCAGAGAAGTTTGCACTTTGTGCTGGTTTGCCATTGTATGTTATCCAGTGACCAGGGGTAATATTGCTCCCGCCCTTGATCATTCAATTTGGAATTGGCGCATTATAAATATTTGGGTATTATTATTAATATGTCTTAATAGTAAAACTATGAACTGTAATAAGTTACGCATGCATCAAACCTAACAAGACCAAAATGACAGTCAAACAGGGTAAAATACTACACTTGACCACGCCTCCTTATAACAAACCAGTGATACTATTATAAATTGTATGAATTTAATGAACTCACCTTTGTATTTAGAGGAGGAAAGTTTTGAAGACGGAAGTTCACATGGCCGAGTTCTTGTATTTCTTTGTCCAGTTCTTTACGATGACCGTATGAAACCACACCCATTTGCTCTAAGTCATCCGTGGAGAGTGTTAGTAAGCGTTTACCGGTGATATTATTTTCAATAAATAATTCGGCATATGATGCTAAGTCACCAGGCTGACCACCTTAAAAGATTGAACAATAATGATGAGAGATGGATTCTAGAATTTTAGAAAAAAAGGTGATTACATAGTGATTTACTGCAGTTACCGAGTTACCATAGCTCCCCCACTTAAAGGTAAAAGTAGGAGAATAACCCATAACTTGCAGCGTCATTGTGCTGAATTGCGTATGGGCGTGGTCCGTGACTACCTATCAGCCGTAATGAGGCACTTCATGGTAGCTAAATGTTCACATCATTCCACAACCACAGTGGATGAAATAAACCATAACATCGGGGTAACCCCCTACTCTTCAGAAAGATGCAATGGGTTCTTTAAAGTGCACACGAGCCAGATGTATACACTGGACCTCCATTTTAAGTCCTTATCCGAGAAGACTTGGTTCTACCAACCGAACCATGGGAGAGGAGCGGCTGGAACCAGCGCCGATGTTAATGCTGTAGCTAGCAGCGCCCCTGCCTTACAGCTCGACCACTTGCCAAAATTTCCTGGATTTGCTACAGATTATAATTCTATTGAGGCAAATAGCATAACACAAACACTTTTGCTACCAATAATAATAATCATTATATGATTACATGAACTGCCAAAAAATTGAGCGAGGTGAGTTAATTTTTTAAAGACATATAGCTGTATTACTGTCTCTTATACACATCTAGATGTGTATAAGAGACAGGAATATGAATATATTAAAGTCAATTTCCATGTTTTTGACACTGATGCTGATTTTGACACCCCTAAATAAGTTATTAATATATGGCTGTCTCTTATACACATCTAGATGTGTATAAGAGACAGGCAAAAAGCATTAAAAAAGATCACCAGTGATCATAAGTGTGTTATAGTAGTTTTGTAATACATTATTAGAGTACCTTTATTCCCAAGTTGTTTAATCCACAGACAAACTTCCTGGTCACTCCAGTTATTCACATCGTTGTCTGCATCAGGGCCAAAAGGCATCACTTGATGCTCAACTAACTCCTTCTCCCAGGCCTTCAAATGCAGTTCTTTCTCCTTTAACTCCTTCTCTTTGTCGGTCAGACTGCGTTCCATTGATTTTAACCTCTGCAGTGTTTCTTCTATTTCCAATCTTTATTACAAAATCAACCACTGAAACTTGTTTAATTATAAATGCATTTCAACTCAATTATTTATATCATATTCCATCTAAATAAATTATTGAAATCAATCTCATCTCTGGTTATTGGTAAGGGAAAGTAGTGTCAAGCATTGGTTCATGGCACTTATGGATAGGAGCAGCTTTGCTCAATCGGCTAAACTGGTGGTAGCCACTGGGTGCACGCTTTTGGTGCCCGGTTCAATTCCCAACGTTGCTCTCCTTGTATTTCAGCTAGAGGACTGAAATGCAAGTTATGATTGTGCACCATCTTTTGGATGAGACGTTTAAGCCGTTGGTCCCGTGTGCATTATGGCCCATGTGCATGTTAAAGAATGCAGTACACTCTTTGGAAAAGAGTATGGGATTGTCTCCCGGTTTACTGCCCAATCACAATCAGAAGGACCCCACTGGAAGTAAGCCTTTATCGGACTTTCGTGAGTTATCCTTAGTGTTTACACCGAATACATTCATCCATCCATACACGACACTTTATATCAGCATTCACATGTATATAATCGAAGATTACGGCATATTTTTGCGCTAAATTTTAGGAATTTTGGAACAGTTTTATTAAAATAAGAATCAAATGCACAATATAATAAAGTTACTACTCTAGGAATATACATTTCTAATGATTCTTACCGCCATTCATTCTTTTTGTCCAGAAATTTCTTAGTTTCTGTTAGTAAATGACCTGCAAAAAAAAAAAAAAAAAAAATTGAAGTGGAGGTATAATGAATCGTGCTTGCTTTCCAATCTAAGATTCAAAGGTTCAAATACCAGTATTTTTCGTCGAGGAAAATCACTACTTCCCAAAATCAAAATTAAACTACATATAAGTCAATTTATTATATTTATTCAAGGCTGCATGTGGTAATGTTAACATTCACTAAAATTTAATCCTACTAGTTACCCAGCTAAACTCCTGGGTGAAAAGAAACATGAATAAAATGCCTTCTCCAGGAATGCAAACAACTGGCTAGACTAAGATTACAGTACACCTTTATGAGTGTTTAATTGTTTGTAAGATTAATATCTGCTGTGCTTTATGTCTTACTGTCTAAAGCTGGGCAGAACCTGCACTAACGATCGTTAGCTGAAGTGTTTCTATGGGGAATAGGTAATAGTATCTAATAATAGTGATGTTGATAAAAATAATAATATTTATAATAATAATGATGTTCGACTTAATTTAGCACATACTAGATGCATACTACTTAGACGAGTGGTTAGCTTATCTGAGTGGAATGTACCCAGTCACCGAGTCAAAAAGTCAATTGCAAACACGCGTCTCAGTTAAACTTCCTGAGCCATTCAAGCGTTTAATACTCAAGGGATGACGTCACAGATTAGCTACCTCAATCGCTGACTTCTCATGGTTCAGTTACTTTTACCATTTCTCGCAGTAAAACAAACAGACTCAAAAAAGTGCGGACAGCATTAAGATTTAGTCATTGGAATGTTATCCACAGTCTCTGTAAAATCTTAATTTTATTGTAAGTCCTGTGTGATTGTGGCTTTAAACAAAGGGTATAAAACTGCAAGAGGTCCGACTGCCGGGGATGTTTGGAACGCAAAAAATATTTCCACGAAAGGGCATGCCCTTTAAAAAATTTGAGCAACGCGTACGAGTTTTTAAATTTCTAAAGGGCGCCCCCCCTATTTCGTGGCTGTTCTTTTAGCTTTCCATTGCCTGCATACCTGGCTGCATACAAAATCAGGGCAGTCGGACCTCTTGCAGTTTTATACTCTTTGCTTTAAACTAGGCTTAAAAACTAATCCTATTAAAATAAGCATGACTGGCTGTTGATATGGTTTCTCACCATCATTCAACATTGCATCCAAGATCTTCAATATCTCATATGAGTTTGGTCTTTCCTTAGGCTCAGTAAGCCAACAGCTCTTCATTAAGTTGGCAAAGAGTGTTGGACATGTAGTTGGAATTGTCAGCCTCTATAAACACAAACATAGTATAACAAAGAGTCAATTATAAATCATATATTTTATGATTTTAGATTTATGGTTTTAAAGATAGATTTTCTGTTATACGGTCGTCTGAGTATTTAAACACATAAAAATGTTATTTATAATACTAAGAACTTGCTGAATGTTGACACATAATGTGTGTTAATGTTTTCTGATTGAATATGAATTTGAATTCTTGTATATACTTTCTGTATCAATTTTTTTTTATCTACTTTTGAATGTTAGATTTTAGGGGGTTGGATAATCACTAGATAGTTGATTTAATTCAGCTTTTTGATCACTCCTCTACCCCTTAATAGTTCGGGGTTTTTTGTATTATTCTTTGTTGTGTTCCAAAGAAGAAATAAATGAAACGAAATGAAAATAAACACACTGATTAAAATACTTTTTTATGAAAAAATTTAAAATATAGTGATATGATAGAGAACAAACAAAATATAGTATGATGGAAATTAGATTGTTTTTTCTCTGTGTGAAACATGTTAGGGACAACCCATGAATGTCAAAAGCCATATTTCCATTGGGTTCTTTTGGTGGTGAATTAGGAAGTACATCTCAATACACTCCCCAGCTGCAGTGTAGCGATTTTATGTAAACTCGGCTTTATAACGGCGAGTCATTTATAAACACATATGAAAACATTTAATGTTTAAAATCTTTCATAAACATGGTAATGATTATAATTAAAATGATGTAAAGTAGATACAAGGCAGAAAGAATTATTACCTCATTCTTATCAACAACAACCCAGGCCACCTGGATTCCACCAAGACCTTTAAATGGGACTTCTCGTGTCAGTAGCTCCCACAGAACCTACCCATTGCAAGAAAAAAAACACATTTTAAATAATTCTAAAACTTTGAATGAAGGTGATAATGTTTTGATTCCATATTCATGTGATAATGTTTTGTTTTAACCTTTTAGTGGTTTTTATCGCTGTTGGTTTCAAACTGAATAAAATAAAAAAAATAAATAATTATTCAGGTGAACCAATGTTTATCCTATAGGCTGCGGCCTGTCAACCATCTTTGAATACAAAACCCCTTGTTTCGTACGGCCTGGCACCGATCATCTGTAAAATGTAATATTAAAACTGAGAATAAAGCACTTTAAAAGCTGCAGTGCATAAAGGTTGTTGGAAGCACACTGGTATTGTACTACCAAAGTTAAGGTGCAGCCCTCAGTGTTAAATCAAAAATTCACTTCGGCAGTCAAGCCAATTTTTATGCCCACCCCTGTAATAAACATATGAAACAAGAGTATATCACATGTTTATGAAGTCTACATCCAAGTTAAGGAAGAAACATTCCAGGCTCGCAATAAACAGAACAGAAATATACTCTCTCTTTTAGCTACAGCGAAAATATTTTTGAGTGTGCCGCATAAAAATATGTTTTGCTTGCCCAGATTATATTGATTTTTCTTTTTGTTTGATAGTTTGGAAAATATCATCAAATCAATGACTTATATGGAGATATTATAGTGAACTGGAGAAACGACAGAAAAGTCAGTCTTTTGATGATCATTCCGACCGTGCTAAGAATCTGTGGTCACGCGTATCAATTTTGTATAAACATGCAGTGCGAGCGACACTCGGTAAAGGAAGACGCGTGGCTTCCTCGGAGGGTTTGTGCTGTAAAGCACATTTGATGTTGAATAATGTTGGTTCTGCAATGCCAGTAACTATACCAAATTGACTGGAAAATTGAGATTTTAAAATTTTTTTAGCTTAGCTAATTCTCCAAAAGATAGCCCAAACATTTGAGATTTTTTGAGAAACTAGGCCAAGGCCCCTGCATGTGTACGGCCTGTTTAGGTATGCACGAGCGTGTTCGATCCGCAAAATTCTCCATAGAATACTAATTTTATTTTGACTTGCTGATATAGATATATCAAATATCTTTTATTTTCAACTCGGCGAATCAAAATGAACACCTACTATAAGACATTATGTGATTTTATACTGAAGTTTTTTATGCTACAGATGCTGTTTATTGCTTACTAATTTAAACTAAAACAGAATTTTATAATGAACAATCAAGATAACATGTATACAATGTTTAATTTCATTTTGATATACTGCTACATTATTTATAAATTTGTTCATCGATCATTAAATCTACATTTGAAACAAACTTCTGAATTCTGTATTTGCCTCAACAATCATTCCATTCTTTAGGTAAAGGTTTGTATCAGACAATATAGTGTTGGTTGTTCTGGTTTATAAGAGCATTGTGTCTGTTACCACTATGACGAGCAGCTGAAACACAAATCAGCATTTAACATTATTTCTATTATTTAAATGAAAGAAATAAATAATTATTTATACTGAATTTAAAAATAATACACCATTCCATATGTACATGAAGAAGTTATTATCATTTTATTAGGCCCGGTTGGGGTACCTATCAACTATACATAACTAAACTCCATACATCAACCCTCTCTCCCCTACCCCCACCACCTCATCAGAGGCCTACTAGTACCGCTAGAATGAGGGAAATAGGCCTACACCTAGTATAGCTAGCCCAGCCGCCGTTATTAAATTAGGTGACGTCATTGCGAAATCGGCAAAATTAATGGTTTTTTGAAGGAAAATAACAAAAATAGGCACAATTAGGCACAGATCACATCGACAAATTAATGTAAAACAATATCTATTCTGTCAAACAAGACAGGTCCCATTTGTAGGAATGAACAGAAAATCCAATAAATATCGTTTTTAACAAAGGATATTCTCTAGAAACAATAAAACATACTTTTACTTTGATCAAACATAAAATTTAACTGAATAATCGGATTTTAATGCAGTTTTCAATATCATTTTCAACAGTAAATTGTGCTTGATATCATTATTTTTGTTAATAAGAAATGCTTAAACTGAGACACTGCACATGCTGTAAAAAGATCTACACTTTTGTCTGTATTTCCCCCAATAGCCAGGTCCTGTTGATGCCCCCAACAAATCTAGTTCTCCGCATGCTCAGCGGTCGGAATGATCGAACATCAATAGACCGTGATATCGTGTCAGATCTCTTAGCAGTAATTGCCTTATCAGAAGATAAGCAACAGTGTTGTTTTTCGAGTTCATTATAATATCTCTGTGATTAACCAGTATGGCAGCAGCAAAAAAATCTCAACAAAATAATAAATATTTCAAAACCAGTATCCAACAATAATTTTTTTTTTTTAATTTAGGAGAATTTTGATATTTATTTTATTCACTCACTCAAAAAAAAACAAAAAAAAAACCCAGAAATGCATTTAAAACCAAACAGAAGTTAAATAATGTGTGCACTTATCCCAATTTTAAAAATCGTCATAGCATACCGCTGTTCGCAAGTTATCCTATAAATAAGAAAACAATACAAATAAAAAACATACCACACCATAGGAGAATGTATCACAAGATTCAGATACTGGAAGGCTCTGGATAACCTCTGGAGCCATCCAAGGATAGGTTCCTGCCAGTGACATCATTGTGGTATTGCCAATTACTCTAGATGCTCCAAAGTCACAAAGCTGCGTGATTACAAATGAATAAAAATGACAGTGAACATGTAGAATGTACAATTGCTTTTTTCCTGATATCCAGTGAGGTTGCACCCCAAAATTAACCTTTCAAATTTAATTCAAAAATAAAATATTGATAATCCATTACTGAAGAAAACTGTGGGTTAAAGGTTAAAAAAATTAAAAACATCAATATAAAATACAGTAAACATTTGAGTTATACTGTAGCTGGTGAATGAGATACAGATTTTTGAATATTTAAAAATTGGGGGTAAAGGTTGAAAAGTGGTGGTTACACCCCTATTTTTCCCAGTTTCTAAATATTCAAAGATCTGTATCTCATTATGTTATATAAACCGTTCCCAAGTTTTTTGTCAAATCCCTGCTGAGTCTTTCAAAAATCAGACTTACAACATATCAAAACATTTTTTACCCTCAGGAAAACATGGTTTTTTAAAGTTGAGACTCTATGGATGGCATTAAGTTTGTTACGATAGATGGCCTTTGTGCCATTTATGCTTAACCCTTTCACTGCTGGGCCTTTTTAGGAAGAAGGTTATTTTGAAATAAATGCCAAAAAAATTACTAAAAGAGGTTAATTTGAAATTGTTTTTGTGTATTGGGGTGGCAAAGAGGTTGGCCTACAGGAAAAAATTGGAATTTAAGTGGTTATGTGACCTTGGGGACGGCCATATTGGAAATATCCTTTTTCATAAATTTGTTCAAAAAGATAGAAATTCTTAAGGGATGCTGTTTTTTTTTTCACTGGATAATGTTGAAGATACATAAAATGAATAAAAACAAACAATAGTTTGAATTATTTTTATCGTTCTATTCAAAAACAAACAAAAATCCATGTTTGTCATCAGAATTGTGAAAAAAAAATTTTTTTTGCAACAATTAAGTCATTACTCCATATAATTCAGTAGAAATCACCTCTAGTTCATAGAAACAACTATAGAGGGCGCCTGCAGTACAGAAAGAATTTTAAAAAGAATTATTTTCATGCCCTTGGTAGTACCAGGGGTATGCAGCGAAAAGGGTTAAAGTTGCTATTATTGATATTAATATTAGTATATAATATGATTATTACTGGGGCCGGAGATAAAGAGGACTAGTGACCTTGTTTTTAATATATGCTACGAGGATTGTATTTTGAGTAGAATAGGAGCTGCACAAGTCAAATGATAAAAAATGTTTCAAAACGATTAAATAATCTATTTGAAACACGAGCTACTGCCTGCTTAATCTTTATCTTTTTGAGTTGCATAACAAAGCCCAAAAGTCATGCAATTTAAAATGAGACACAGAGAGAAGCAATTTAGTTTCAACTACAATTTATAGACATTTCACTTTGAAAATCGTTCAATTGATTATCACCCAATATAAATTTCTACACCAAGTAAATACTGCTGATGTCTGTTAATACACCAAAAAAAATAATTTCCTCATTTCAAGTTTCGATTGAAATTTTAAACCTTAAATAGACAATGTCAAACCAATTCAAAAATTAAATTATATTTCAAAAGTACACTAGTTAATTACAGACAGCATTTATTCATTTGGATTTTACTAGAGCGTGACAACAAATGATGATTACTTAATAAATTTAATTGTCTGCAAGATTCATATGCACTGCACGTTTTCTCAAAAACTAATGATGGAATTTATCATCTAATAACAAGGTTTACAACAAAAATTAATATTATTGATCATACTGAATAAATATTGTATTACGTTTATATCATAACAATGAAGTTAGCTAGAGCTTGTGAAAGCTTGTGTTTCAAATAAACTTCTCAGTGTAAAAAGTGCTACATTGTATGCTGCACATTTAATCTTGAAGTCTTGCCATTTTGTAACATTTATTTATACAGTATTTTGAATTTTACCTATATATATGTAAACCTTTACATGCTTTTGTTTTACTTGATTTTTTCTTTGTTCTTTATTCATATCTAAGTTACATGTAGAGTAGTTCAGTTGTATTTCTGCAGTATGTGAGTTATGTAAGATAATATGATACACAGTCTTGGCCTGAACTTAACTGTCCATATTAATCTTTTTTATATTTGTATATTAAATAAATTATTGACTATGGTTTAAGATATAATACCATACTTTTAATAATTATTTCAATGGAGATTATAATGAAATATACAGTATGTGTTTGTTATAACTTCATAATATTCATAATATTACTAATATATTCATTTTACATAAAAGAGCAAGCAAGATTTTAAAAACTTTAACCAACTTTGATCATTTTTTTTAAATTCTTGTGGTTTCTGTCATTTTACTCAGTTTTGAGAGTACAAAGAACTTAATATCATTCAAATGTAACCTCTTTGCCCTTGGCATAAGATATCAACAATAGCTATTTCCTTTACTGTGTTGAAGGTAACCTGTGAAATACAAACGTCAACTTCCTGTTTTAATAATAATTCTTGGCACATCCTACCTTCAGTATTTTATCACTGTTAATGACACAGTTACGAGATTTCAGATCACGATGAATAACTTTCACTGGTGCCTCAGCGTGTAAGTAGTTCATACCTTAAAAAAGATATTAAACCTCCATTAAAAAAACAATAATATTGGTCGTTAAAGTCATAAGAATATAACATACTAAAATTAAAATAGCATATATTATACCCCAAATTTGTTTTCCTGGAGCATGACTGAAAACAGGGCCGGTAATATATGCATATGTCCCACAAAAACAGACATGTTTACATACATTTATCATCTTAGCAACAATATCTATAAGAGGGAGGGCTTAGAATGGTTCATATCCTACTCCTCTTCCTATGTATACACAGTTTTCTTAATAATGAGCCTTGAAGCAAATTTCTTTTATAAAAGAATGAGAAGAGAATACACATAGCAAACAATCTAGTAAAACGCACTAAGTACTCTTATGTAGAATTAGCAAAACAAATGTATTTAAACATGTTCGCTGCCAGAGACAAGTATACTCATCCCATTGGGTGTTGATGAGGGCGCTAGGGACAACCATACTCATCAAAATCGGGGTAACATTCTAGTATTTATCACTTCTTTGTTATACATTGCAGAAGCACAGGCTTAACGGCTGGTAGTGCGGAGAAGATACACCTAGACAATAACATACAGATAACGTGTATGTTTGTTGTGTTATGTTACCAGCAGTACACTTGACTGCACAAGTGGGGGCACCCTCTGAACATATACCGACTATTGGAAAAAGCAGGGGAGATAACTAGCACTTGGCAGAGGCAATAAAAAGTGCTGTCCCAGTGCCGACGACGAGTTTACACGTCCCCTAATATTTTCCAACCAATTTATTACACACACCATTTTTTTGATATTTGACTAGATAAAATTTCAAAAAAGTATGTTTGTAAACATATTTTGGCACACAGGAAGGAACAAAAAAGAAGGTCTGGCAGTCAACGTGTTAAAACTTGATTCAGTTATGGAAAAGCTCCATATATATCAAATTATTATTTTATTGTTCTTGTTTTTGAATTTTAATTGATATTGAATAAAATAAGATTGCTATAGTTATTCATTTATTAACTGTTATTGTATACATTATCATTATTCATGTTATATCATTATTACTACTATTATCTAGTAATTAAAAGTAAAAAATTATTTCAAATTTATTGAATTATAATTTTTATATACTGAATACAGATTGTTTAGATTGAGAGCCTTTATCAAGTCTTCTCAAAAGATAGTGAATAAATAATAAATAAATATTGTTAATGACACCCACGCTATGTCATCGTCATAATCACCATCATCATGTGGACCCCAAACTCTTAATATTACAAAAATTTTTCTCATTGAATTAATGCTGTGGCTGAAATTTTTTTAAACTTTATGGTAAGACTAGCTATCTATTCCCTCTTTTATAAAAGAAATTTGATTTAAGGGGGTGTGGGCAGCCAGCCCAGGTCCCCTAAATTGTTAAAAATTATAAAAAAAAAAAAAAGGGGAAAAAAAAAAAATTATAATCAAATTTAAGTTGAAAGTGCCATTTCCGGCCATCTAGGGGTAAATAAACATAAATTTTCTCCATGGTGGGGCTGTTTTCTAAAACCAATAATTTCTTCACTGCCACCTCTTGGTCCTTTGAAATCCATTTCGCTCGGTATACACAGCCAAAAGTACCACCCCCGCATCGTTCGTAAAACTCAACATCATCAAACGCTATGTGTACAAATGAAGCCATATCCAACTATTGGTCACAGGCTCTAGTCAAACTAAACAGAATAACAGTACATCAGACTCACAGAATGATCAATATATTATTGAATATATAGGCCTAATGCATATGATTTGTGTTTCAACCACACAAGTAGTATCCTGTCTCTTATACACATCTAGATGTGTATAAGAGAGAGATCTATTCCCTCTTTTATAAAAGAAATTTGATTTAAGGGGGTGTGGGCAGCCAGCCCAGGTCCCCTAAATTGTTAAAAATTATAAAAAAAAAAAAAAGGTGAGAAAAAAAAAATTATAATCAAATTTAAGTTGAAAGTGCCATTTCCGGCCATCTAGGGGTAAATAAACATAAATTTTCTCCATGGTGGGGCTGAGGTAGTATAGACCCTCCATCTGTGAAAGTCCCTCAATGGGCCACTTCTATTTTAAATTCCTAGATCCACCACTGCCCTCAACTCCACTTACCTAAAGCCATATGTCGTGACCATGTTAAAATCTGAGTGAAATCCAATGTATTGCACGGGTTTGATAAATAGTCATAAAGGGAACCCTCTTCAGCATATTCTGTGAAAAAAAAAACAATGAAAATTGCCAAACTGATATAACATATTATTTGAATAAACACTCCGATTTGAATAAACGCCCCCTCTAAATCCTCATTTGGAATATACGCATTATTATTTTACCTACAACAATGTCCTATCTGTGAGATGGAAATATTTTTTACTATAATTTTGTTGTCCCTTTAATTCCTCTCTTATTACATATTAATATATTTTAAAACATTCTCCTGTAATCGAGTAGTGAGACAATCTTAATTTCTTGATCATATTAAACAGAAACCTGTGCACTGAAAAATGAATTTGGTCCTCATCAAAAGAATAATATTAAAGAAATGCAATGAATAAGAAGGAATTGAATACAGGTCTCCCTCCAATTAAATAAGACTACTATTGGGACCATGGTTTTTCTGATCTTATTAGTCTTCAATTAGAGCAGATATTATTATCATTACGATAAAGATGGGCATTTATTTGGGACTGCTGAAAGTTGGTCTTTAAATGGAGAGGTCTTCAATTAGAGGGAAGCATGTAATTGACAATTCAGTTATGTTAATGTTGACCATACAATTTTAACATCATGCCACAATAAGTAATCAATGTATTATTTTGACTTGCAGCTCGTTTGCAGAACACTATGTTTGTGATTTAATCTATAAAAATCAACACACTACGCTGGGCGGTAATAACAATGTATACCAACACACTGAATACTGAATGCTTATTATAATGTACTAGACCAATAAACGGACCTGATGCAGGTTTAATTATTAATATCACTTAACTGGCATACCACCTTCTAAATTTACATTACTACTATGTAAAATAATACTATGCTAAATAATTTACACTAAAAGGCACTGAGTAGTAAACGAATGCACAGGTCTACAACAAGTTCTTGTATAAATATAAGCTAAGACTAAGTTACAAAAATTAATTTACCTGTTACGATACAGAAATTGGGTGATTGAATAACTGCTCCATAAAACTTGACAATATTCCTATGGCTCAAACAACTTAAAACCTGAGCCTAAAAAAGGCAATATAAAAAAAAGATTTATATGTTAAACAATTTTCATTTGTTGTAGATAATAAATGATAGATATCAACAGTTAATTAATTAATAATTGTAATAATAATTGCATTATTTAGTATTCAGTTTTTATTCATTCATTCAATTCTTATATATTCAATCAAATCATTAATTCCTTCCTTCATTTATCCAATTATTTCACTCTTTCATCCATTCGCTCATTTCTTTATTCAATCATATCTTCATTCACTGATTTATTCATTCATTCAAACGATTCATTCCTTCATTAATTCACTCATTATTTATTCTTTATTTTTTATAAAAGAAGAAATAAATTCTAAGCATTGTAGGTAACACATAATTGATAACAATAGTAATTGAATTCATTCTAATTCCTGAAAATAACAAAAATGTAACACAAAAACAAATACAAACATTTACTTGACATGAGTACTGGATAAAAATAAAGTAACTAATGCATAATTTATGCTTACTTCAGTTCAGGCCCTTTTTTGTAATGATAAATTAATAAAATTAATTAAACAAATTAATAATTATATACAATATTAATAATAATCTAAAAACTAAAATAAAATCAACAGTAAATGCTAACTATTTTATTTATTTGAAAGTATAAGCAACAATTACAGTACTTTATCAAAAATACATTACTTACTTTTAACTCAAAAAAAAAAATAAATAAAAAATAAATAAAAAACTGTTTAATATTGATCCATTACTGTTTGGTTTTTTTTTTTAGCCCAGCTCCATTATAATTTTTAAAAAAAATACTTTCACAAAACAAAATAGATATAGTAGGTTGCACTGAAAGCATGACCACTGTGGAATTTAAGGGTTGGTGTTTTTTTTTCTTTTCTTTTGTGATATTCAGTATTCATTATGGTTTTTAGTACTGTATCCCTTATTCTCTTCCCTAGACACAGGCTATTTAATCAGTAAAATGACTAATTATGAAGGTGCACTCCAACCCAAGACTTAATACATCCAGTGTTACAAACTGACCACTGAGTACATTTACCTCCTTTTCTAAAACCAATAATTTCTTCACTGCCACCTCTTGGTCCTTTGAAATCCATTTCGCTCGGTATACACAGCCAAAAGTACCACCCCCGCATCGTTCGTAAAACTCAACATCATCAAACGCTATGTGTACAAATGAAGCCATATCCAACTATTGGTCACAGGCTCTAGTCAAACTAAACAGAATAACAGTACATCAGACTCACAGAATGATCAATATATTATTGAATATATAGGCCTAATGCATATGATTTGTGTTTCAACCACACAAGTAGTATCTACACTTCTAGTAAATCTATTGTCAACTTATCAACCAACAATTAATATTCAATTTAATAGTACTGTATTTCTATATTGCTCTAGCACAGTAGACTGTAGCCTAAGCCTATGCCTGAGACTATGGCATTGGTATAGTAGGAAGTTATCCTGAAATAGCCCGGCAGAGCAGTTGGCAAAGCACTGAGCTGCCAGAGGCTAAGCCTCAGTTGTTGATTTTATTTTTACAGTAGAACTCCTATTAAAGGGGAAATATATTTTAAAACTACGGCCAACCCCTACAGTATTAAGGGGACACTCTCTGAGTGGGCCAAATGGTCAATTAACCCTATTAAGGGGACACTTTTTTTTTCATTGTATTACAGTAGATTAACAAACTGCAATCTCAAAATAAGAAAAATCAAATTCAACCTTATATTTTGACACCTTTTGAGCAATAATCCAAAATTTAATTATATAATTTGTCACTGTAACTATGCTATATCCATTCAATAGAAAGTTCAATATTTAAAAAAAAAAAAAAATTTTTTTGAATACGACGCCCCGTTATGGAGTTATGATTTTTTAAATAACATAATGTCAGAAAATCAGCCCAAAAGCTTTCTTATTTCTGTTGGTTACGCACCGCTGATTCGCAATGTTTGTCATCACCTCAAGATGTCTACTGATTCGTGAAAAAGGCCTATAAAAGTTGAATAAAAAACATTTTGTAACAATCATGGTAACTCTTTGCTACTACTGTACCCATAACGAGGTAGCAAATGAAAACACTATAATTAATTACAGTGGTAGGCCTGTTATTTGGTATAATCAGGGAAGAGTACGCAAGTTAACTCTGATAAATAAAGCAATAATATGATAAATAGGCCTACTAGGCTTTCTCATGTCCAAGAAAATGCTTGCAGTAGGTAGGGGCCTAAGAACGATTTAAAAATGGGCCGTTGGAGGTTCATGATTAAATCATTGTACCCTTCCGATTTGTTGGTGGAAACATAAAACGAGTGAAATCTCACACCAAATTTATTTTCTTGTTTACATATTACATTCAGGCTGATTTTTTTTTTTTTTCCATAAAAATTTATGTGGTGAAACCCCTCAATCCTATCTTATATCACATAAAATAACGCAAAATTTGAACCCTGTCTGGGGGCCCTTGTTGGTCCACTGGCCCCACGTCTAATTGCTAGCTGCGCTTGCAATTTGCCATGAAGGTAAGGGCAACAGTTATAGCCCTAGGCCACCAGGCCTGGTTTGGTTAGACTGCTTTACGCCTACAATAGCCTAGTCGTACTAGGCCTTAGGCCTATAGTTACTGTAGTGCTAGGCCTGCCTAGCTAGTAGGCCTAGTCTAGTATAACAGACAGATGTAGGCCTACTGTAGGCCTAGCAGAGTAGTAGTAGTAAAGTGGGCTAGCCGGTAGGCCTAGTACACTAGGCCTAGCCTAGGTCTAGGTAGGTTAAGAAGTCTAGGCCTTAGATATCATATATATTATTAGTGTTTTATTTTTTACCAGGATATTACCTCTCTAACTTGCAAGCATTTCCGAATGTAATAATGTTCGTGTTATAATTTATATAGGCCTAGGCCAAGGCCTACACACACACACGGTCCAAAAAAAATGTTTGTTTACCACGCGCACAACAAACCGGGGGAGGCAGGACAAGCCAAATCCCGGGGATAAGTTCTCAGAGCCGTAGATAGATATCTACGGCCGGCTCTGTAAGTTCTTAGTTATTAGCGCCCTCTAGGACTACTACTTTTTTTTTTAAACAAATACCGCAGTAGTAAAACCTAGAATTGAAACCCTGGGCTTATTTTTATTGCGAACTTTGGATGGGCTTCTTCTCGAGATGGGCTTCTTTTCAAGATGTGCTTCTTTTCGAGGATACCTTTTCAAAGTAAAGACGTGCTTCTTTTCAAAATAAATGCCGTAAATTTTGTGAATTTATCCTATTAAACATTAAAATAAGGCCCCAATCTGTATCATGGAGTGGATTTAACTGGCATTAAATCACCTACGTTATGTAAACCAAGCTTGTTTTTTATAATTTATTTTGCTTTTTGAAATTCATGTACAATGTATGTAGGCCTATTGTACTATCTCGAAAAGAAGCCTATGCTATCTTGAAAAGAAGCCAATGGGCTTTATTTCGAGGCCAATTTTGCAAAAGAGGGAGCTTCAATTCGAGATGGGCTTCATCTTAAGATTAGCCCACCATGGGCTTCAGTTGATCTTTACTACTATCTGTAACCACTTCCTCTCCAGTTATAAGGTAATGAACAGATTTACAGTTGAAAAACAAATATTAATCTAAATAGACCACCTAATCATCGCCAGCAACACAGATAATTTATAGTAGCCACTATCATTAATAATACGCAAACGAATATTCTTTTAACATTTTTTCATAACTTTTTTGTTTTCATGACCTCGGGCCTTTCCATAGGAAACATCGCCCCTACCACTGTGAGGGACATTGGCACATGTCGGATACATCGGCCATACTGTACGTCAGTGACATCGCACTCACCCCCTTCCTCCTTAAGTTTGAAACATCAAACCCCTGTCGAGCAAATACCAGCACCATGTCTGTGGATTCGGCCAAAACATAGATCCGCTTTATCTAAGGTAGGGCCTAATGGTTAATCCATCTTGGTAAACAGGTTTGTACCCGGTAGTCTGGCCACAAAAAGTTATACAGTATACATACGTTTTTTTTTTGTTTTTTTTTTGTTTTTTTTTTGTCGTGGTAGTGTAAGCAAAGTGAAGGGCGGCAACAGGGTCTTAGTTAAAATTGATATATTTATTATAATATTATGCTTATAGGGCAAATCTGATAACCGATTTAACTCATTTTTTTTAATAGCCGAATTGTTTATAAAGTTTTATTTAGAGAAAATAAGTCAAAAAGAATCATAACTGCTATAAGCCGCTACTTATACTAACACGTGAATTTTATGCTGAATAGGCCTACTGCTTTTGATTAGCTTTTGGCAAATGGGATTCATGGTTTTTGAGTCGACAACTGAACATTCGCCAAACTGAGTTTCGGCAAAGTAGACTCGGCAATCGGACACTCGGCAAACTGGGTTTTGACAATCTGGCTTAGATCCTTTCCAACACACTAGAATCTTATTCTTGTGAATCATTAACGGGGCGTTGTCCTTAGATTCCGCAGATCTCTATGAACATCCTAGCTCCTACACCCCACCCACCTCAAAGATTTGTATCCTAGAGCCACCACTCTGCTCTATCAGATCATTATTCTAACACCCCTTCATATATTTTAATGGGTCATGTGAATCGGCTCTTCTCTGACCCACTTCAAAAAAGCATGTTGTACTTTCACTTTATGGAGAATCTAGACCACACCAGTCCCAGCATGATTGATGGGCTGGATGATTACGGTACCTAGATGACCGGAGATGACACTTTCCAAATGTAATTTGGATATCATTTTCCTTTTTTTAATTGTTTTAATAATTCATGTTACATGATGAGGGCGGTGACCGGCTGGCTGGGTGCCCTTGAATCGGCCAATGAACCCCTCAGGGGTATGGCGAAACTGCTGAAACAATTTCATTTAGGAATTTAAAAAGGCTTATTTTAATTGCATCCAGAGCTACATTATCGGTAGAACTTACAAAAAAGGGGTAGGGGAAAATCACTGTCTAGTGGCTAGCGCCACTCCATTACAAATCCTCCTTTTAAGCAAACCAAACCAACCAACCTTGCAATTATATTACCAGAATGATGAAATTTACCATTTACAAATTTACCATTTACAGTACATGCCATATTTCATTCATTTGCACTCCCCTCCCTCATTTCCTATTGGGGTTTATTGGAAACATTTTCATCCCCCCACCCCACTCTCTAAAATTGAGCCTTGATCCCACTCCTGCCCTTATCACAACAAGCATATGCACAATATACTCTATGAACCAAGTCGACGCATGAAGCTTTGGGAGTGCATGGAGTTGGTTTTGGTCGTAAGAAATTTAACCAAAGACCTTGGGATTGGAAGGAAAACAACTTAACCTGCTCATACAACACAAACGTTTTTGACAGACACTAATACAAGATATGGTGTCTACATATTAAAAAATATTTGATGAATGGTTCAGATTTTAAATATTTTTTCGATGAAGATGAAGAGAAATGTAAGAAAGAAATTTAGTATTTAAGTACTTTGTATAGACGTTGGTACCGGGTAATGTAAAAGTTGTCCGAAATAGACTAGTAATGATAATCCGCGTGTGTTCATATCATATTCATAATCATATCGTCGTCATCGTCATCATCATCATCATCTTAATTTTTCACATCCTAATACATAATAATGATGTGTGATAATGCAATAATAGACAGAAGCACACCTTTATTTAGAAAAAAAATCGTCTTAAATCGTCTCAAGATTTCATCCGTGTTATAAATATCAATATATATTGACCACTGCAAATACATATACACAAATATAGGCCTAAACACACACACACACATAGGCCTATACATACATACATATATAGGCCTATATATATATATATATATATACATACATATACATGTATATATACTCTCATCTTCAAGACTGATTTATGAACATTATGTACAGGTTGACATAATAACATAGTGTTTATAAATCAGTCATGCTGAAGATGACCCGAGGACAGGTTGAAAAATTCATGTTGAAATAAATTGTGTTCTAAAAGTCTACTTCGCTTCATGTGTGTGTGCGTGTGGGTGTGTGTGTGTGTGGGGGGGGGGGGTGTGTATAATCAAAGAAGCTGCATAGGCAGAGTGACATAATATAAAATCAAAAACAACATGGTTGTGATCTGCCTCAGTAGAAGTTTATTTGATACGACATGTTTCGGGAA